TGTCACTCGTCTCGTCCGTGGTACGATAGACTACTCCATGGTATGTCAGTGCTGAGCTGACCCAGCTGTCCTCTTTCTGCAACCAGGCAGGAGGTGGTGCAGATGTGACACCTGTCACTCGTCTCGTCCGTGGTACGATAGACTACTCCATGGTATGTCAGTGCTGAGCTGACCCAGCTGTCCTCTTTCTGCAACCAGGCAGGAGGTGGTGCAGATGACGTGACACCTGTCACTCGTCTCGTCCGTGGTACGATAGACTACTCCATGGTATGTCAGTGCTGAGCTGACCCAGCTGTCCTCTTTCTGCAACCAGGCAGGAGGTGGTGCAGATGTGACACCTGTCACTCGTCTCGTGGTACGATAAACTACTCCATGGTATGTCAGTGCTGAGCTGACCCAGCTGTCCTCTTTCTGCAACCAGGCAGGAGGTGGTGCAGATGTGACACCTGTCACTCGTCTCGTCCGTGGTACGATAGACTACTCCATGGTATGTCAGTGCTGAGCTGACCCAGCTGTCCTCTTTCTGCAACCAGGCAGGAGGTGGTGCAGATGACGTGACACCTGTCACTCGTCTCGTCCGTGGTACGATAGACTACTCCATGGTATGTCAGTGCTGAGCTGACCCAGCTGTCCTCTTTCTGCAACCAGGCAGGAGGTGGTGCAGATGTGACACCTGTCACTCGTCTCGTGGTACGATAGACTACTCCATGGTATGTCAGTGCTGAGCTGACCCAGCTGTCCTCTTTCTGCAACCAGGCAGGAGGTGGTGCAGATGACGTGACACCTGTCACTCGTCTCGTCCGTGGTACGATAGACTACTCCATGGTATGTCAGTGCTGAGCTGACCCCGCTGTCCTCTTTCTGCAACCTGGCAGGTGGTGGTGCAGATGTGACACCTGTCACTCGTCTCGTCCTTGGTACGATAGACTACTCCATGGTATGTCAGTGCTGAGCTGACCCAGCTGTCCTCTTTCTGCAACCAGGCAGGAGGTGGTGCAGATGTGACACCTGTCACTCGTCTCGTCCGTGGTACGATAGACTACTCCATGGTATGTCAGTGCTGAGCTGACCCAGCTGTCCTCTTTCTGCAACCAGGCAGGAGGTGGTGCAGATGTGACACCTGTCACTCGTCTCGTCCGTGGTACGATAGACTACTCCATGGTATGTCAGTGCTGAGCTGACCCAGCTGTCCTCTTTCTGCAACCAGGCAGGAGGTGGTGCAGATGACGTGACACCTGTCACTCGTCTCGTCCGTGGTACGATAGACTACTCCATGGTATGTCAGTGCTGAGCTGACCCAGCTGTCCTCTTTCTGCAACCAGGCAGGAGGTGGTGCAGATGTGACACCTGTCACTCGTCTCGTCCGTGGTACGATAGACTACTCCATGGTATGTCAGTGCTGAGCTGACCCAGCTGTCCTCTTTCTGCAACCAGGCAGGTGGTGGTGCAGATGTGACACCTGTCACTCGTCTCGTGGTACGATAAACTACTCCATGGTATGTCAGTGCTGAGCTGACCCAGCTGTCCTCTTTCTGCAACCAGGCAGGAGGTGGTGCAGATGTGACACCTGTCACTCGTCTCGTCCGTGGTACGATAGACTACTCCATGGTATGTCAGTGCTGAGCTGACCCAGCTGTCCTCTTTCTGCAACCAGGCAGGAGGTGGTGCAGATGTGACACCTGTCACTCGTCTCGTCCGTGATACGATAGACTACTCCATGGTATGTCAGTGCTGAGCTGACCCAGCTGTCCTCTTTCTGCAACCAGGCAGGAGGTGGTGCAGATGACGTGACACCTGTCACTCGTCTCGTCCGTGGTACGATAGACTACTCCATGGTATGTCAGTGCTGAGCTGACCCAGCTGTCATCTTTCTGCAACCAGGCAGGAGGTGGTGCAGATGTGACACCTGTCACTCGTCTCGTCCGTGGTACGATAGACTACTCCATGGTATGTCAGTGCTGAGCTGACCCAGCTGTCCTCTTTCTGCAATCAGGCAGGAGGTGGTGCAGATGTGACACCTGTCACTCGTCTCGTCCGTGGTACGATAGACTACTCCATGGTATGTCAGTGCTGAGCTGACCCAGCTGTCCTCTTTCTGCAACCAGGCAGGAGGTGGTGCAGATGTGACACCTGTCACTCGTCTCGTCCGTGGTACGATAGACTACTCCATGGTATGTCAGTGCTGAGCTGACCCAGCTGTCCTCTTTCTGCAACCTGGCAGGAGGTGGTGCAGATGTGACACCTGTCACTCGTCTCGTCCGTGGTACGACGGACGCTGCTGTCTTGGCTGTTTTACAAAATGTCTCGTCGGCTACTTTTTAGCGGCCCTCATTTCGTGACTCTCCCTCTCCCTCCTTCTCACATTGAAGACCCGGTTGCCATCCTCGTCGACCGAACTCTCTTCTGAAGACATGAGCTGCGCTTTTTTCATAACTCGAACGCACTTGGTCTTTGTGTGAGGAGGCAGTTCCGATTTTTCAATTCCGGTTACACGGTTTCTGCTTTTCTAAAAACAAAACCGTTCACTTTATAACACCCACCTTTCTTCAACACGAAATAAAACGAAATAAAATGTTTTGTTTTGAGTCACTAAAAATCGAAATTCTGTAATTTGGGAAGAAATATATATCTAAATGAATATTAGGAAATTGCATGGGTGGCGTCAAGAGTGGGACTCAACCCCAAAATAGTAGGAGAATATGAACTTTACTAAGTGTTGTCCCAAATATGACATTTGTTACATTTGACCACTTTCTGAAATGGTATTTGTGTGTTCATGTGTTGTTTAGTGTCGGTTGTTTTGCTTGTACACTCCAGGAAGTGGGCGGTGTTCCAATATTTATAATGTATTTTTTACAAAATAGTGATACAATCTAGTAGTAAATAGGGATTATAATGTTTTCGAAAACTCTGAACGGTGAAACTGAGTATTCATGATGTTTATTTTACAGAGTTTCTAATATAGAGAACTCACAGTTGTCCAATTCCCTGAAATCCGTAAAACATCTTGACGGAATGCGGATAAACAAAGGCCTTCTCCATACCCCAAGGGAGCTCAGAAATACTCACCACTAATGAGAAGAAACAATAAAGCGCTATTAAAATATCTTATTACCATATCTAGCTGACTACCGTTACAGGGATCATACTCGACTTTTATATTAAATTTAGTACCTGATTTGCGCACTGTTCTTTATTTGCTGCAATTTCGTGGTTTGACAAATTTTCGTACAGGTATGTGTCAGCTGTGTAAAAACGAAATATTTTGGCATAATTAAAAGAAACTCTTCTTGAAAGCATATCGCACGAGGTTCTCTACTTTCCGTGTATATATTATGACTTAAATGACGTCTGATATTGACAAGTTACAATTATTTGTTCATTGGAACATTTAGCTCTCTTTCACTTACCCAGCCTTGTAACAAGTGGATAATGTATCAACTGTTTTACGCTAATTTCTATTTAAGAAGTTTTCTGTGGCCTTCCCTGAAGCACAAACATCATATTTTGCTACCGTTTCAGTGTGACGTAAAACAACATTTCTTGCTTGCTTTCTTATCTCACTCACTCACTCACTGTAATATCAACCCTTCACTCATTCTAATATCATCCCCATCCTCTTTTTTGTAATAGCTATACTCTTATGTACTCACAGCGCTGTTTCTTAGATAAGGGCATATCCAATCTGTCATGAATCTGAAACAAAATAACGTATTCTAAAAGTTACATACATTACAATTGGACAAAATAGTAACTACATACTTGTATGAACAATTGGTTCAAATTCCATTTGCAGCGGTGTTAGATGTGTGAGGATATATACTACATATAGGCCTATACATGCACGTATATAGGCGAATTGTTCACAGCTATGCGAGCTGTTTATGTGCGCTTCTCAAAACTATTTAAGTGGCAAGCATTAATTATTATGAGTTAATTTTTGAGATAGCGATATGTAATATCATCTCTAATTAGACATATCCGGGTAAATTTATATGTATTTGTACAGGCGGTCGCGACAACAGACAAGGTTCGACATATCGGTACATTCGAGATACACAGGGTTCGACTATACATGTTGAAAACGCAAAAGTAGTATGTGTACACAAAATGATTTTACCGAGGTGACGGTTTTTAAAGGATTACATGACTTCGACCTGCATGACCTCGGCATTTTCTCTCCCCTTCAATATTAATATGGTGACTAATCCTTTAACTTATGACTGGCAGACTGCTATCCACGTACATCACACTCACTGAGTCACGAAATGCTTTCTGGCATGGTAGAAAATGAAATCTTCCACCACTTTGAGGAGAGTCGTTCCTGAAAAATATATGAATTGAGTGACAGCAGTTTTTGTGATGTTTCGGTCACCCGTACAACCATTAGGGCAGAACTATGTATTACAACTTTGGTTTAGCCAAATGTCACTGTAGTAGGAAGATACCATTTATCTGTAACAAACTTAACATGTAACTGAGTATTTGAGTGTTGAGATGGTATTTCCAAACAACGGCAAATTAATGGGCGTTGACAACATTCGTGAAGTCACAATAGAGATATATTTACAACAGCCTTGATGTGAGATATTGCTCTGCTCCTCTCCAGCGTTTTGTCGTTAGAAATACAGCACATGTCTCTTGAACTCTTCAGGTACATCCTCTGCACCAGTCGTTAGAAATACAGCACATGTCTCTTGAACTCTTCAGGTACATCCTCTGCATCAGTCGTTGGAAATACAGCACATGTCTCTTGAACTCTTCAGGTACATCCTCTGCACCAGTCGTTAGAAATACGGCACATGTCTCTTGAACTCTTTAGGTACATCCTCTGCATCAGTCGTTGGAAATACGGCACATGTCTCTTGAACTCTTCAGGTACATCCTCTGCACCAGTCGTTGGAAATACGGCACATGTCTCTTGAACTCTTCAGGTACATCCTCTGCACCAGTCGTTGGAAATACAGCACATGTCTCTTGAACTCTTCAGGTACATCCCCTGCACCAGTCGTTAGAAATACGGCACATGTCTCTTGAACTCTTTAGGTACATCCTCTGCATCAGTCGTTGGAAATACAGCACATGTCTCTTGAACTCTTCAGGTACATCCTCTGCATCAGTCGTTGGAAATACGGCACATGTCTCTTGAACTCTTCAGGTACATCCTCTGCATCAGTCGTTAGAAATACAGCACAGGTCTCTTGAACTCTTCAGGTACATCCTCTGCACCAGTCGTTAGAAATACGGCACATGTCTCTTGAACTCTTCAGGTACATCCTCTGCATCAGTCGTTAGAAATACAGCACATGTCTCTTGAACTATTTAGGTACATCCTCTGCATCAGTCGTTGGAAATACAGCACATGTCTCTTGAACTCTTCAGGTACATCCTCTGCATCAGTCGTTGGAAATACAGCACATGTCTCTTGAACTCTTCAGGTACATCCTCTGCATCAGTCGTTGGAAATACGGCACATGTCTCTTGAACTCTTCAGGTACATCCTCTGCATCAGTCGTTAGAAATACGGCACATGTCTCTTGAACTCTTCAGGTACATCCTCTGCATCAGTCGTTGGAAATACAGCACATGTCTCTTGAACTCTTCAGGTACATCCTCTGCATCAGTCGTTAGAAATACGGCACATGTCTCTTGAACTCTTCAGGTACATCCTCTGCATCAGTCGTTGGAAATACAGCACATGTCTCTTGAACTCTTCAGGTACATCCTCTGCATCAGTCGTTGGAAATACAGCACATGTCTCTTGAACTCTTCAGGTACATCCTCTGCATCAGTCGTTGGAAATACAGCACATGTCTCTTGAACTCTTCAGGTACATCCTCTGCACCAGTCGTTAAAAATACAGCACAGGTCTCTTGAACTCTTCAGGTACATCCTCTGCACCAGTCGTTAGAAATACGGCACATGTCTCTTGAACTCTTCAGGTACATCCTCTGCATCAGTCGTTAGAAATACAGCACAGGTCTCTTGAACTATTCAGGTACATCCTCTGCATCAGTCGTTGGAAATACGGCACATGTCTCTTGAACTCTTCAGGTACATCCTCTGCACCAGTCGTTGGAAATACAGCACATGTCTCTTGAACTCTTCAGGTACATCCTCTGCATCAGTCGTTGGAAATACAGCACATGTCTCTTGAACTCTTCAGGTACATCCTCTGCATCAGTCGTTGGAAATACGGCACATGTCTCTTGAACTCTTCAGGTACATCCTCTGCACCAGTCGTTGGAAATACGGCACATGTCTCTTGAACTCTTCAGGTACATCCTCTGCACCAGTCGTTAGAAATACAGCACATGTCTCTTGAACTCTTCAGGTACATCCTCTGCACCAGTCGTTAGAAATACGGCACATGTCTCTTGAACTTTTCAGGTACATCCTCTGCATCAGTCGTTAGAAATACAGCACAGGTCTCTTGAACTATTCAGGTAAATCCTCTGCATCAGTCGTTGGAAATACAGCACATGTCTCTTGAACTCTTCAGGTACATCCTCTGCATCAGTCGTTGGAAATACAGCACATGTCTCTTGAACTCTTCAGGTACATCCTCTGCATCAGTCGTTGGAAATACAGCACATGTCTCTTGAACTCTTCAGGTACATCCTCTGCATCAGTCGTTGGAAATACAGCACAGGTCTCTTGAACTCTTCAGGTACATCCTCTGCACCAGTCGTTGGATGTCGGTACAGCCAGGGGTCATCTTCTTCAATTATCTTTTTTTCCAACTAAAGGAACAAAACTTTCCTAGGTATACCGTTTATCAAGTGTACACAAACACATATTTAGTTACAAATCCAATGGAACAAAAACGTCATCAAAATTATGTTTAGATATTGTTATTGGTGACACATCTACCTGTTTAGTCCATTCATGCAAGAGGCGACTAACGGGATCGGGTGGTCAGGCTCTCTGACTTGGTAGATGCATGTCTTCGATCCCAATTGCGTGGATCAGTGCTCATGATGTCAGTCACTGGATGGTCTGTTCCAGACTCAATTATTTACAGACCGCCGTCATATAGCTGGAATATTGCCGAGTGCGGCTTTAAAAAACAAACAAACATGTACATCCAACAATTAATCACTGAATATATGTTTGAAACTCGCTAGTCTAATTGTTATGCCAGTATATATTTACAACTGTAACGGTAGGTTAATATATATATGAATGTTCATACTACATTTCGGAATTCTGACTGTTCCACAGTCCTCAGCTCCTCGAGATCATCAGCAAGTATGTTCACTTGTTGGTCACCATACTCCTTCATGTCTACTGTCTTAATTCTTATTTGAGGTTGGTCTTCAAACAAATACTCACGTATGGCTTTTCCTGTCACTTTCGCCTTTTCGACACATTTGTGCTGCAATAATATGTTGTAAATTAATAATATAATAACTCTAGTATTCCCTCTTTCACAACAGTAAATGCAATTATATAGAAATTCATTATTCACAAATTTCTTATGATTATTAAAATGTTTTTGTGGTTTTTCATTTATTATTGTCAAAAGTACCATACCTTTAAAGGTGCATCTCAGGGTTCGGTTTCTAGAGGCAATACAAAGAATTCTATGGTCATTCACAAACCAATGTATAACAAAAGTATACTATTTATCAACTTAAGATACTAACTGTACAACACTTTCGTAATTTGCATTTGTTTGCATAAACTGTTGTAAGGTTTATACGGTCACCATACATACCTGTATACACATGACCTTTATTTTTATTCCCCTTTCTGGCAACCAGATACTGGTCAAGTTCTCCTCCATTTGCACACATTACACAATGTGTTTCGACAGGTGACAAGTTTCCTTCATGTCCTAATTGGGCATTTTCCGGAACTTTAAAAACTGGTGGTAATTTCTTCCCGGGCGTTAGATAATTTGCCATCAAACGTGCACCTTGTCCAGATAGTGGGTATGTCTTACAGAAGCTGCCTCCGGAATCTTGTAAGGTTTGGTTTTCAATGGTGACCGATGTTGTTGGTTCCTCGCTAGGATGATGTCCAACATACCCCTTTATTCTCAATACAAATATAATTGTTTCCCATGGAGTTAATGTGCAGCAACTCTTGGTGTTCCAGGGCCAGATACTATTTGCCAAGAGTCTTGTGTACGCAAGATATGGTGGTTTTGCTGCAAACACAATTCAGCTGTCCTTTGTCCTTGTTGAATGTCACTACAGCGCGACCGAGTTTAGCCCAGTATTCCTTCGTTCCACCATACACAGAGAAATAAACGCTGTTTACAGAGTGCTTCTGCTCCCATTAAACGACGACAGGTATTTGTCTTTGTTCTCCAGTGTCTACAAGCTTCAGGGCAACCTGCATGTTAGCAGAGTGTACTACCTTCTGTTGACAAAGATTTTCATGTTCTGACTGGAGGTGTACTTCTTTCGGGTATTCACTTGCAAACATAACTGATTGCAAATGGGGGCACTGATAAATACCTACATTACCCTTGCTGCAACACGCAAAGCTAAGTTGCAATTTACATGTTCACAATGTATTTGCTGTGTGAAAACGTTCATTTGTACGTGAAGTGGGTAATCTAGACCGATGCTAGACTTGCTGATCATGTAGAGACCAGGGTGTTTATCAATGCATAGTCCACGTTGGCATGACTTGTTTTTCACTTCAACACGTGCATTGTGTGTCTCTGCATGTCTTTAAATGTTTTTCTTAGAGATGATTACATTGCAGACAAAACATGTCTCTTTTGGAACTTGCTCTCTCTTCACTTTTTGGACGTTAGGGGACTCTGCAGAAGTCCTTTCCTCAGAAACTTTCTGGTTTGTTGTCCGAACAAAACGGCAGACCGTGGTCGTGAGTCGAAAGGGAACTCTCTCAGGAAGAGTTTACCACACGGACAGTGGAAATGGCACCGGTCTTGTCTGGGAGTACAATCCAAAGAACAGATTAACACCCATGCATCTGCAAGGACACAAATACGGACTATTATGTCAGATAACTTGCGTTGTGCTTTTGAGGTTGTGTAATGGACACCATTTTACACGTATACGTAATGTCACGTACCACTCATTATTAGTTTAAAAACAAACACCAATTTATACATACTCCCAACTTACACGGCATTTTGTGTGTGCTTGTTTCTGTGTCCTTCCTTGATATTGTACCGTCGTGACGTTGATTCAGGACACAGTTCGCACTGGAATATTCCATCAACCTTCACCAATAAACTCTTACACGTGGCGAGCTCTTTTCTGTGCTACATGTCTTCATTCTGTAGACAAAGGTAGAAAGTGTGAAATCAACATGTGGTCAAAAGAAGACCTAGTATTCTATTGCTTAAGACTTCAGGACACTGAGTGGTGTAAATCCACTTACATTTATGAGTATTGAAAGAAACATATAGCGTCAATCTCCATTAAGGTAAGTGAGTGAGTATATCATGACTATCAAAGGTTAAAGAGTATAAATACTTTGAAACGTATAAAAACCTTCCAACGAAGGGCAGTAAAATAACTAGACTTAGCACAGAAATATATTTAAAACTAGTATGTAATCATTAAAAGAATAGCACTGTACACAACATTATGTTATAAAAACGGGCTATAGATCGCCAGCAACTGACGGTAGATTACCATACTGGGGTCCATGGGGACCTACAGTACTTTAGCTTTCTGCAGGTGTTGGCGATTATTGACAAATTTCGCCAAATTTAAAGAACACATATTTTTGTATATTGCTTGATAACGGTGTTAGAACCTACAACGTAACGTCACTCCAAATTGTAATAAAGAAGTTGTACATCCATAAATTCTTATCCTTACTTAGTACTCCAACTTCTAAATGCCTATCGGGGCGGTCGGGTAGCCTAGTGGTTAAAGCGTTCGCTCGTCACGCCGAAGACCCGGGTTCGATTCCCGACATGGGTACAATGTGTGAAGCCCATTTCTGTTGTTCCCCGCCGTGATATTGCTGGAATATTGCTAAAAGCGGCGTAAAACCATACTCAGTCAGTCTAAATGCCTATCAAAGAAGAACACATATTATACGATTTAAACTATAGTAGGAATAATATACCTTGAATGATTTGGACGTACGATACCCTCTCAGGGGAACAATAATTTTACACTACTTTAACCCCCTTCGAGGATACAGCCACGAACAATCAGTTATTAATTTATTTTACTTATGTTAAAAAGTCATTTATTTTATCCAAAACAAATTAACTGTTTACTGTACAACCCTATTTCCTTTAAAAAGTAAGTGGATCTTACACTAACTAAACTCAAGAAATCCGACACTAATCAACTCATTTATCAACAACAATACAATGAATTACGAAGCACATATAATACATACAAATCTGGGAGTCTCGCATTTTTCGCATGCAAATAGTTTCAAATACGGCTTCCTGACTGGTTGGAGAATATTTGAAAAGAGTTCAATTTAACTTTAAACCCCCATAGTAGAGACTTTCCTGAGCTCCTCTTACGGTATGAAACAAAAATATTATACTGAACCGCAAAAGAAACGTCACCATAGATAGATATATGAGAAACACGGTAAACATACTTTGAGACATATTAAAACGATGAATCTTGGCAAAACTGATCATCAAGGTTGAAATTACAGTGTCAAATGTTCTTAAAGTGAAACACAACACTAGTCCCTGAGAAAATGGCATTACAAGTCAGTATATCGTGTGTCCACCATGTGCATTGATGACTGCCGTGCCACGTCGATACATGGAATGGATGAGGCGGTTGATGAAGGCCATAGGCACTTGAGCCCGCACTCTGAGGAAAGCCTGGCGCAGTTCAGCTGCACTTGTCGGCCTTGATCGGACGTCCCAAAGGTGCTCAATGGGATTTAAATCGGGACTGAAGTCAGGCCACTGCATGGTTTTGATGACATTCTGCTGGAGGAAGTCCCTTGTTGCTCTCGCAGTGTGGGCACGGGCGTTATCATGCTGAAACTCGTGGTTGCGGCGACGTGCCAAATGAGGTAAGGCGTGTGGTCTCAAGGCTTGATCAATGTACCGAGCTGCTGTGACAACATTGCCTCTCTCTGGACCAATGTTCTGGAAGACCACAGGGCCGACCCTCTGTGCAAGACCAATTCCACCCCACACCATGATGCTCGGACCACCACACGAGTCTCAACAACACAAGCATCCGAATAACGTTCCCTATGGCGTCGCCAGATTCTCTCTCTCTGCCATCTGCAGTTGAGATACAGTAACGACTTCTCGTCTGAGAAGAGGACTCTTCTCCACTGCTGGTGCTGTGTTGCCCATTGAAGACAGTCCCGGCAATGACGTGGTGTCAGAATGGGTCCTCGGTGGGGCCTGTGGCAGTGGAGGTGTCTGCTCGTCAATCGTCCCCATGGTCTGTCGAGCAGTTTCTGCAGCAGTAACAAAGCGATCTTGAAGATGCTGTCGCACAATCTGACGAGCTGGTGACCCTTGGTCTTCCACTACTTGGTCGGTCATCTGTACTGTTGGTGGTCTGGTACCGTTTTTGCGGGTGCCCCTATAGGGTCCTTAGGTGGACCTAAAAATGCACTGGCTACTTGCCAGCTTGCAATCTTCCGAGGGCTTGGTGTCGCTGATTTCTTGTCAGTCTTGGCATGTGGTAGCAATTCAATAACGAATGAATGTTATCCGATCTGGTCGGATTTTTATAGGGCAAGAAAGGGGGGAACGCATGTGCATTTCAATTTGCACGGAACTCACGTGCATCGGGTTACCATGGCCGATGCCGTGATGCGTTTGGGCGATCGGTTTTTTTGTCATCTCCTTTGTTTTTTATCATCAAATTTCATTTTTCCGGACAAGGTCATGTTAAATTTTAGAAACTTTGACAAAAATTACCCAGATATTTAAATGACAACTTTTCACTCACTCACTACTTGGGGGACGTTTCTTTTGCAGTTCAGTATATATGAATGACCAGGGTGATATATTCTAGCTAGTATGTACTAGACACATAATGTAACATGTGAATAAGTATAATATATGGGAAAAAGTACAATAATAAGACACAGAAATTTTGTCAATGCTTTGGGGAAAGCCTGTGTAAGTCTATGTCTCGTGAACCCCGGTTCTATCAGATAAAGGACAGTCTCGCCACAACACAGCTGTTGCTGAAAGGGGATATAAACAATAACACAGTGATGTGGGACACGAACGTATTTCAGTGCCAAGCACTTATGTACAGCTGGACGTCGATAACAGTAGATTCGACCAGAGACCAGGTACCATGTACCGATGGACGTGCCTTACGGCAAGTTGGAGACCGATCACAAGCGCGAGACCAAGCGGCAGTTTCACGCGAGACTGTGCGAGATTCTCAGATTTACGAGATTTTCGTGAATTGACTAATCAGCCTTCCAAACCTTCACATATAAACGTTGAATTATGTCAGTTTTCCTGATTTGCAAAGTACATTTGTCAATTATAAGTAAGTATATGTATACGTTGACATTTCGCGAATTAACGAACGGAAACATCGTGCAACATCCCATTGTTCTATCGTACAAAAAGAAAATGGCGGCATGCGAGAAATTCTCAATTTATCCATTTTCCAGTACAAATTACTCCACTAAGTATATAACAAAGTCCTTAGATACTGACGTCAATCGGAAGATTTATTCTGTTTCTTTGTAGTTGCATAATTTATTTGTTTTGAACAGGACGTCCACCAGAAAGTAGCCCTAATTATTACTTCATTACCTTTTTAACCACACTTCATTACCCTACATCTTACGGAACATGTATCTCGGTTAAACATCGTTAATTATAAAACGCTAAAAATAGATTTCAATATTTAACTTTATTTTGTGCATGCAGCCATGCAGACACAATTTTTATCAAATAATTTACTCATGTTCAGGGGGCACGGGTGGCCCAGTCGTCTAAGGCGCCGCGATTCGCTGTGCAGAGTTGCGTCCCTTGGGCACGCCAGAAACCTATGATTGTGGGTTCGAATCCCGGTTCGCCCCGATTATGTTTTTTGGTTTGTCAGCACCATACCCGTGCTCGTGGCTTTCACCGAAGTGGTAAACGTCTGAGACCTGCATAACTTCGGGCTTTCCTCCAACATTAAGCTGACACGCCGTGATATAACTGGAATACTGTTAAAAGCTGCGTTAAACCCAGCTCACTCACTCACTCACTATAAAGATAAATAATCAGAACTAATTAGGATATCAGTGAACAAAATTGTTATTGTTATAATGCAGAAATAATTCACATCTTTAGATTAGTATTATATCTACCTAAATACCACTTTATAGTGTCTCAGATCGCTGTACTTAAAGGGGAAGTGTACACGCAAAAATCACTTTCTTTCTTTTTCTAAACAAAACGCAATTTTAGAATTAATTAGTATCTGTGTTTGAAAATATACACTCATTTTTTTCACAGTGAACGTAGGAAGCTCACAATATTGTGAAAATGATATGCCGTTATGAGGCCTTCGTTTTTCGAGCTAAACAGGCCTGAGTTATCCCCCTTAGATTATGACGTAATTGGTGCCAATTCAACTTGGTCCCTGTCTATTCTCAACGCAAAAGATATCAAGTACCAGTTTGCTGTAAAACAACATGGCCTACGACACACTCCGGCGCAGTGGTGACTCAGCATAACACTATGCTGGCTGGCATCTGAGACGCTAGAATCACACACCTGGACCTACACCACGTGAAGCGGCTCTAACAAAGCATGATGACGTCATAATGTTTATCAATAGGCACCAATGACGTCATATTGCAAGGGGCATAAGCCATGGTGTTTTTGTTATGGAAATAGAACGCTTGGTAAATGTGAAAAATATAAATCGTTTTAATGCGAAAAATATGTTAATTAATTGTGATATTTTTATATTTTTGTCTATGACACTTCTATGTTAACACTTTCAATGTGGAAAAAGTACAAGAAAAATAGGTTCATTTCCGTG